TGAATGTGAAGCTGATGATGTGCCCTGTAAACTTTCACTCAATCCAAAATAAAAACATTTAATTAAAAAATAAATAAATAAAGGCACGAAGTGACTGGCTTACATGGTTTCAAGATGGAGTTTAGTTTAAGAGTGTGTAGAGGAAGATAGAGTCCCCACTAAATAGTTTTTATCTTGTCTATAGATGGGTCTGGTAAAAAGAGATGGGGAAAAGATTCTTATGATTCAACAGTGACTGTTATCATGACTGAATGCGACTGTCACAATTGTAAAGGTAGAAGTTTTGTTAATAAAAATGAGGGAGTAGTTAATCTTACAGTCCAGAAACAGAGGACCCTGGGGCCATCAAGGGAGTAGGGCACAAGTGGAATATGGGACCTTATCCAGAGAAGCGGCAACACCAGAGATGGAGGCAGAGATGGGGACATGGAAAGAGGGAGCAGCTGAGGACTCTAGATTCATAGAAAGGGAGGGAATGAGAGCGGTCAGGAGGCAGACTTGCAGAATGTGCCCTTTTGTGGTGTAAAATATTATATATGCCTGAGTGTTTAAAAAAAAAAAAAGAGCTAAAATGAATAGAGAGAAAAACTGTTAATTGATGGTACATGGATTATAATCATTGTAATGAAACCAAGTATATGATTTGTTGAATGCAAAACTGATGATCTGCGCCGTGAACTTTCACTCAATTCACAATAAAACTTTAAAAAAAGAGAGAGAACAGGGTAGTAAGTAAGAAGAAGAGAAAGGCTACATCTTTGAGGCAGAAGGAACGGAGAGGGAAAATAGTATAAAGAAAGGAAAAGAAAAGAAAAGGGGGAACCTCTCAAATAGCCCAGGCAAAGCAACATGAACAGAACCACTACAATGTCCTGACAGAGAACAAACTCCTACGGACAGGAGTCCAGCCATGCCATCCTTCTAAATGGCCCACCTTTGACCCAGCCTGACATTGAAATCAGCACACAAAGGACCCCAGAAAATGTTACTGAGAGGGGGTGAAACAGGTAAGCAGGCTATGGGATGACACAATGGCTCATACAGACTGATATTCCTCGTATAAGCGGAGCACTAACAGTTGTGGCCATACCCACGAATCCCCAGGAGCTTCCAGTGAGCTGCCCTAAGAAGAGTCCCATCAACATTAACACTACTGTCCCATAAGAACTGTACCATACACTGGCGTCTTCCCTGGCAGGATAACAATAATGAGCTGCAGCCCTGAGTAGGTGTTCTTGAGATGCCGGAACATGGGCTCCACACTGTCTGCCCCCTGCGCATATTTGCAGAAGCAAGGCTGGCCTTGGATGGGCATCCCTGCATCTTTGGAAATCTTCCGCAGCTGGTCCGTGAAGTTCCTGCAGCATAAGTATGGTCATGATAGGAGGTGGTTAGGCCAAAGTGTAATACCTCTGACCAAATATCTGTATCTTAGATGCTCAGAATATTGACAGGTGATGAGGGAATCTAAGATAAAGGAGACACAAGCACAGCTAGTGGAAAAAACACACACATAAATAGTTTAGTAGGTCATGAAAGAGCTTACTGAGTGCTCAATGGTACTAGCAGAGAGCTGGGGGAGCCCAGAGAAGGGACCTGTGAGAATTCTCAGGGTCCTCACCTGACTCATACAACACTGATTCCTATGCTCCATTTCATGTCCTTAGCAGTAGATAGAAGCCTAAGAGGTCGGCTTCTCTGCTCAAAATTTTAAAAAATGACATTCCTATAGTGATGACAACACAGGAGATGGAAAAAATGAGCCCCCTTCCTCTCTTACTGGCTCTTTGAAACTGAGAACCAATTGCTTAACAAGCTTCTTTCCTTTGGATTTAGGGTTTTACCCTAGGAAACGAATAATGAGTTGGAAGAGAGGGTGCATGTATGAAGATTAAAAAAAAAACAAAGCTCCATAAATATACTAACAGAATATACCAATAGACTGAAATGAGCAACAGGAAATTTAATTTTTTTAAATCCTGCATGTAGATTAAAACCAATAGTGTACAAATAGAGTAATGAATGCCCATTATGTAGGAAATAAGGGTGACAGGTTTGGTTGTTATTACATAGCATATAAATATCAACATGACAGATTAAATGTAAAATCCAAAATCATTTAGATGACAAGGTTTCAAAGGGTTTGTAGAAAAATTCCATTATCTTTTCATTCCATTTTTCCATGAACCTTTTGAAGTCCCCTTATGTGTTTATATATAAAAATGCATAAATAAAATATGAAAGTTACAATAATGTATGAAAGTGGCTGTTATCAGAAAGGAGGAAAAGGACTAGGATGAAAGCTATAAAAGAACTTCAAATTTATGTGAGACCCATTTGTAAGGCATAGATGAGAAGGAGGGATAAATGGCAGTAAAATCACTAGAACAGAAAGAACAAGAAAGTTTACACACTGTGAAAATGTGACCAACATCACTGATCATTATATCTAGAAACGAATAGGAGTGAGTTTTGCCAAACAATCACGCTCACTAGGCTATAGTCACTTCTTTACATGGACTTTTCCTCCACAACTGTAAAGGTCAAGCTACATCTAAAAGCTTTGACAAATAAGCACAGAAATACTTCCCTGACAGTCAGACTGTGAAAATTCTGTTTTTGTCAGTTACAATATCTAAAGATACATATTTTTAAATATTATTATTTCCTTAAGTCATGTTATCAAAAACAAGATACTTTTCTTTAAAAAAAAATTTTTTTTGTTCTCTTGAAAAACAAGTTCTCATGGTTTTATAGTATATGTCTTTTGGGAATTAGGGTTTGCAGCATGAGAATGAAAAATTGGGAGAGGTGAAGGAGAAGCATTAAATTACACAGAAGAGAGTATTTTTTTAAAAAAAAAAAAACCCTGCCTATTTATTTGTAACATTTTTTTACTTTTTTTTTTTAAAGGTTAAAATAAATATGACGAAAATCAGGGTGATAGATACACAGGTGTTAATTATAGCTCGTGCTTTGGTAGAAAAACAGTAGTTCTTTCATTTCTCTGGTGTGGTGCTGTGGGTTAATGCACTGAACTGCAAAACTGTATGAATTACAAGTTCGGAAGTTCAAGCTCACGAGTTACTCCTTGGAAACCCTATACAGAGTCGCTATGGGTCAGAATCAACTCAACAGCATTTAACAACAAAACAACAATAGCATAGCTATCAAAAGAGTCAGAGTGTTACAAGATACAATATCGGACGTCTCCACTACAAAGAAAATGGTATTCCCAGTTTTCTCTCTACTGGCAGATCACACTTGGGATATTAGGGGGAGCAGTGTTGGGGGTCACAAAGTGTGCTGAGAGATGTCTAGGATGAAGAAGTTCTCAAAATTCTGTCCTAAATGTGATATAGCTGAAATAATAAGGCTTCTTTAACTAAAAAAAAAAAAATGTGAGGGTTGAACTTAGGTCTCCCTCATTCATTCCCAACTACCAATTTCTCCAATTACATAGCCACCTTCCACACTTTTCACCCTCTGTCAATGGAAAAACACCCTTCCCCTGTGCTCTGGATCCCAAGCCTTAATACACACTTAGGAACTTTGCTCCATTTACTTCCTAGGTGTTCTGGGTCCTATTTTCAGTCATTTGTCCTTGGATAATCATATCTATTCTCATGCCTGAGGATTTCACTATCTAAGAACCAAACATCTAACCACCATCAACACAGTTGTAAAAGCCACATTATTTCACCCTGAATTTAGGGGTCAGTGGAAGAAGAGGGTGTCTTAAGAACTAAACCCTTCCAACTATGAGAATGTAAGCTTATCAGTTGCTATGCCCCAAAATGTCCAAAACTAGTGGATTATGTCCCAAAATAAATGGACAGAGAAAAGAAATGGGAGTAAGAGAAGCACCCAAAGAAGAGGGTTACTCACAATGTGATTAAGACACCAAGGGGGAGAAGTGGAACTTCAAGGGAGCCTTTCTGATATTACTAAGAGAGCAAGCAGCCTGGCCTAAATGGAGTTAAAATCCCAAAAGTCTAAGAAAGGACATAAGCGCCCAGTAAGAGAAAGTACACTTGTGATTGTGGTGGTTGTATATGTGAGGCAAGTAAGGAATTGGCAGGAGCAGGACAACTATAATCCCCACTTTCCTGAAGGCTGCTAGAACTAATATTTACAAAAGCCCCAGGACCAGATGAATCCAATCAGGCATATTCTTCTACTGTCCTTGTCAATGTCCAAAGTGATCAGCTCCACTGACTCTTCCTCATCCCCCAAATGCTGACCCCATTCCAGATCCAGAAAATCAGAAACCCACTGCCAAGCTGATTCCAACTCAAAACATCCCATAGGGCAGGGTAAAACTGCTCTAATACTCCACAGGGTTTCTGAAAACTGCAAATCATTATAGAAGCAGCCAGCCTCATCTTTTTCCCACAGAGCAGCTGGTGGCTTTGAACAAGTGGCCTTGCAACTAGAAGACCAATGTTTAACCCACTGTGCTTCCAGGGCTCCTTATAATCTTAATAAATTGTTTTTTTAAAAATGCAGGGGAAGGAGAGGTGACCGTTTCCCCTACTCATTCATTAACTCAACATCATTCCCCCCACAAATTTGTTTCTCTAAATCATTTGACTGTATTTGTCTCACTGCTGTCACCTACACCCAGTCCCTCAACCACAGGTGGTTACAGACCATTACAAGTCATGTTCACCTAATTCGGGTCACTTAGATCCACATGCCGTACAGGACAGCTCAGAAGACCAACTGAATAAACTATTCTTTTTTGTTTCATAGTAGGAATACAAACTTTGAAGCTTCAGATCTGATTTGGTCCCACCTCTAGACACGTAACATGCAAACTCTGACCAATTACTTAACCTCTTTGGACCTCAGTCTTCTGAAAATGGATATATTATCATCTATTCAATGTGAAGATGAAATGAGAGACTATACATTAAGTAATTGGTGCAATGTTGACATAAACATTATAGTCATCACTACTAATAATTACTACCGCCAATGATAATAATTACAACAGTAATATAACTCAGGCCTCTCTAAGGGGATTCCAGTCCTGAACACATCATCTCTGACACAGATATGGCAGCTCCTGACTACAAACAGTAAAGGGACAAAAAGAAGTTTGAGTCAAAAAAGGGAAAGGGAAGCAGAAATTCAAGAAATCACAATGAGTACACTACAGATCAAATCTGCCCCCTGGAGATGAGAAGAGGCAAGGCAATTCTAGAGTCCTTCCCACTCTTCTACCCACACTACTCCCAACCCTCCTTACTTGAGCACCTCTTCTCGACACTGTTTCTGGGGTGCGAAGCAGGCGATGGCCCAGACTTTGATCTCAATCCCATTGTAGAACTGTTTGCCCCGCATGTCCCAGACACCCTGATTGGGTGTGGCAATGGCTCGGTTCTAAGGATAGACAAGAGGGGGCGCCCAGGTGAGCCTCAGTAGAGCCAGGTGCGTAGGGGAGCTAAAGCCCCTGCTATCCAACCCAACCTCCCCATATACCCCAGAGATGTTGTCTGGCCCTGACCCTGCTCACCCGGCCGCCGTACTGCAAGATAGGCGCCGGCAGCACTCGCCCTGTCACCTCCGTCATGTCATCCTTCACTTTGATCCCAAATTCCTGGATGTAAGGATCTAAGTTGTAGCTGGCATTCTTCATCTGTAAAGCAAAAGAGAATCTCATGAGAGCAGCCGTATGGCAATACTATCCACCCACTGGATTTCAAAGAGAGAGCCTTGAAGAAAGGCTGTGGGTGCCAAGGAATAGCCCTGGAAAGGGGGGAGAGATTAGGAGAGTGGGAATGGACAACACAAAGAGGTCAAGAACCAAGAGGAGCCCCCGGCACTAAACCCAGACTTTTGTTCTCTTGAGGGTTCTTATGAGGCAGAACATCTACACTACAGAGTTCCCAAAGACTGGACATGCATCTTTCTGCAGCCCCACTGACCAGGCGACTGATCTCCTCCTGTCTGTCTGGCGCCGACCTCGCTGTAGCCTTTATCATAGTCGAAGTCTGGTTGTCAGTCAGTTTCTTGATGCATCGCTGCCCAGCCACAATGTTACAGACCTGAGGAGACAAGAAGGACTGGTAGCTCTGGCCTGAGTGCAGTCTACCCTGAACCTACAACCCCACAGTAACAGAAGAGGCCTTGGCTATCAGTCCTGGGAAAGAGAACTGTAAAACCCCTTCTGCATACATACAAATATTCTCCTCTTGAATTTTACTTGATAGGTAAGTTGGGAAATATTCGTGTGCAATATGAAAGACAGTACAGCCACTTCATGAGGAAGAGTCTGAGATCCAGAGCCAGAGCAAGGCTCACATTCTGCCACAGTCATTTAATTACATGACTTTGGGCAAACTAGTGTTTCTCAGCCTGAGGTCTTATAAATTAAATGGGGATGGACAGTAAAAATCTCTTAAGGTTGATGGGAGATTTAAAAAAAATAAAGTGCTTAAAGGATTGAATACAGTTTTAAGACACAGTAAATACGAGTAAATTGTAGCATATATAAACTATTTACCAAAGGACTCAACATAGAGTTCTCCAAATACTAAGGCCTCATTAACTCAATATAGACAAACTGGATTCCTAAAGCAGTAGGCAGTTCTCCAATGAGAACTACATCCAATGAAGCTACATCCTGCACCCTACCAGGAGGACTAGGCATAGCTCTAAACTCTTGAGCTTAGTCTACAGAGATCACTGTTTCAGTTGGCCTAACATCAGTGTAAGGAACATTCCGCCCCTCAATTTCTCTTTTCCAGGCCCAGCATAACACTGAGGAGAAGGCTTTCAAGCGATGTACAAGACTCCCATCCTCTAGTATACTGTATTCAGACTGTCGTGAACAAGAAACCTTATGGCAGAGTAGAGAAACTTGTATTTGAGATCCAACTTTATCATTTCTAGGTGATGCCACATTGAACAAGCCCCTTAAACCACTCTGAGATGTAACTTCTCTAATCTCTAACATGGGAAAAACACTAACTGTCTCATGAGGTTGCTCTGAGGATTTAGACATAATGAAATGTGTAACTTGCTCCTGTAGGGCCAATACCCTGTACGTATTAGTGCCCACCCTAATTCTCAGAGTTCATGCTGAACAACAGAAGTGGATAGATCTCCTGCCTTTAACTTTGTACTCCAAAAAATACTCAAAATAATCATTTCACTTAATGAAAATCCGGACTTGTTGAAATTTGTAAGGTTGTGCTCTTGAAGACACCTGGAATTTGTAACACTCTCCATATAGATGATTTCAGAATCAAAACTAGCAAAAGACTAAAGCAGGGAGGACCCATCAGGACCTTGTCTATCTTATTAAGTCCTAGCACCAAGAAGGTATATGATACACAGATAGTAAGAACTCGATATATATTTGTTAAATAAACAGCAGTAGAAATCATGACTAAATGATTTTTTTCTGACACTCTCAATGGTCTGGATGACCATTTAAGGAAGACATGGAAGGGAGGCACTGGCTAGCACTGGTTTCTAACTACAGGAATGAACATAATTTCTATCATTTTTCTGCTCACAATCCTCTAATGAGTTCCTATTACCATCAGAACAAAATCCCACCTCATTGACTCTGAGTGGACTAAAAATCCCACAGCAATGAAGCAGCGAGCAAAGCCCTACAATGTTCAATAGACTTCTGTGAACCCGGGTGAAGACCTGGTTGGCCAGCAGTGTGGCAAGACCTAGGGACTCTTGGGTCCAGAGTCAGTGACATAGCCACAGAGGACTAGAGTGGAGAGTGAAGCATCCAGCTGATAAGAAGAGAGGACATCTGCACAAGAACACCCACACTTACAGATAATATTCACTTGACCTGGCTTCAATGACTGGATGATCAAAGCTCAACCAGAAGAAGAAAGAAGAGGAAAAAAAAAGCATAATCTGATACAATTTGATGAACTTGACCTACACCTATGGATGCAGTAGCTCAAAAGAGGGAACAAATCCTTACAGCGAGGATCAATCCCACCCCCTCCATACACAGTGTAGACAGGGATGGTCAACTTGGACACTGGCTACCCAAAATGGGGGTGGGGTGGGGTGCTACAAAGGCAAGAAGTGACTGGCTTATAAGCTTTCAAGAGGGATGCTAGATTCATAGAGCATGGAGGATGGTAGAATCTCCACTGAGTAGTATATAATCTGTCTAGGCAGGACTAATGAAATGAAATCCGGATGGATCTCTTGTGATACAATAGTGAATAATTGTTATCTGGGCTGCTTGTGAGGGTTGGAATTGCAAAGGTAGACATTTTTTAGCAAGGAACGGAGTGATTAACTTTTCAGCCTAAAAGAGGACGTCCCTGAGACCATCAAGGGAGAAGAGCAGAGAATGGGACCCTACCCAGAGAAGCAGTAATGCCTGAGATGGAGGCAGAGATGATGACGTGGAGAGAAGGTAGTGTTGGGGACTTTAGACTCAGAGAGGGAGAGGGGCTGTGTGCTGATGACCAGGGGGCAGGCTTGCAGTGTATACCCTTTGGTTGGTTGATGATGCATGGAGGGGATTGTAACCATAGCAATGAAATGATATACTATAGGATGAATGTAAAACTAATGTTCTTCCATGTAAACTATCACATAATTCACAATAAAATATTAAAAAAAAAAAAATCCCAACCTTGCAGTTAGCAGCAAAGTATACTATTTGTACCACCCAGGGACTCTATTTGAAAACATACTGTGGCAAGGGTAAGTCTTAAAAACACTGTGCCTCATGGCTCAATTATCAGTTATGCACTAGATAGGTCTATAAGGGAGAACAACAACACTATTGAGATACATACATTATAGAAGGGCCAATCATTTGAGATCAAAAGGGCAGCATTTGACCAAAGACAAAGTTCAGAGGGGTTGGAAAAGAAAGAGGAATGGAAACAAGACACACAGGGAGGAAGTATTGGATATGTGAAGTCACATTAAGGAACTGCAATCAGTGAGATGAAACAAAGTGTGTGCAAGACTAATGATCTGCTCTGTTAACCTTCACCCAAGTCACAATAAAAAGTTAAAACAGCACAGTACACTAACGAAAGAAGTCACAAAGGACCCATGTTGTATGATTCCATTTATATGAAACGTCCAGAAAATAGATTACTAAGAAAAAATAGATTCCTAATTTCCAGGGGCTGGAGGGGGTACAGGGCAATAGGGGAGAGTGAACTGATGGCTAATGGGTCTGGGCTTATTTTGTTGTTGCTGCTAAGAGACTTGGAGTTAGTTCCAATTCATAGCATAGTTCTGTTATATAAAGTTTCCATGAAGTAGCTGGTAGGTTTGAACTGCTGACCTTGTGGTTTGCAGTCCACTGCTGATCCTACAGCAGCACACCAGGGCTTATTTTACGGGGGACAATAACGTTCTAAAATTAGATTGTGGTGATGGCTGACAAAACCCTGTGAATATTTCATTGAAAGCCTTAAAAGGAGCTCTGGTAGCATAGTGGTTATGAGTTGGGTTGCTAACCTCAAAGTCAAAGTTCAAAACTAACAGCTGCTCTGTGAGAGAAAGACGAGGCTTTCTGTTCCTGTAAAGATTTGTAGCCTCAGAAACCCTATTCAGAGTCATTATGAGTCGGAACCGACTCCTTGGCATTCCACCACTTAAAATAGGTATATTGTATAGGTTATGAATTATACCTTAATAATGTCACTTTCAAAATACTCTAGAAAATCATTATTATTTTTAAAATAAATTGATACTAACTCAAAAAAAAAAAAAAAAAAATCCCCAAATCTCATCTCACCAGATACTGGAACCCTCACACATTGGTGGTTAACTGTAAAATGGTGCAGCCACTTTAGGAAACAACTTGACAGTTCCTCAAAATGTTAAGCATAGAATATGCTTGATGACTCTATTATTAGATATAGACCCAAAAGAAATGAAAACATACATCTACACAAAAATTTATATACAAATGTTTAAAATCAACATTATTCACAATGTGTAAACAACCCAACCAACTACCAATTGATGAATGAATAAAATGTGGCAACACAAAAGAATATTATTGAGTTAAAAAAAGACTGATACATGTTACAATATGGAAGAATCTTGAAAACATTACGTGAAGTGAAAGTAACAGTTAAAAAAGTTCATATATTGTATAAATTCATGGTATGTCCATTAGATTTCAAAATAGTCCTAAAAAAAAAAATCCACCTACCCATGATAATCCTGTATGTTTGACCCTGCACTTCTCTCCAACAATGTTTTCTACTACATTTCCACTATACACTACATGCCAGCCAATATGGTCGATTCCTAGAAAAGCTCCAAGCTCACTGCTGTTTCCGGGTCTCTGTACTTGCTATTTCCTCTACCTGGAAGGCTATCCCCTCAGGTTATTTACAAAGCTAGTTCTATCATAATTTAAGACTCAGCTTAAATGTCTCCTAAAAGAGGCCTTCCCTGACCACAATAATTAAAGTAACTCTTAACATCCCCTTCACTCTTACTTCTATGACTTTAACCTGTTTATTATTGTTTTGTTATGAATATCATTATTATTATGAATTATGTTCCCCAAAAAGACATGATGAAGTCTTAGCCCCTATTATCTATAAACATGGACTTGTTTGGAAACAGGGTCTTTGAAGATGTTATCAGTTAATATGAAGGCACACTCCAGTAGGGTGGGTCCCTGTCCAGTATGAAGGAAAGCTTTATCAAAGAGAAGAAACACAGAGAACAACAGGGAAGAATGTGAGGACAGTGTCAGAGATGGCTGCAGATACCAGCCAAAGCCTTGGGCTTCCAGAAGCTGGGAGAGACAAGAAAGGATCTGGAGCCTTCAGAGAGAGTATGGAACTGCCAATACTCTGAATTCAGTTGGGTAGCCTCCAGAACTGTGTGCCAGTAAGTTTCAGCTCTTATAACTCTCCCAGTTTGTGATACTTTGTTATGACAGTCCTAGGAAACTAATACAGTTACTCCCCATAGCACTTAATCACTACTTGAAACTATCTTATTTACTTATCAATTTATTGTCTATCTCTCCTTTTTAGAATATATGCTTGAAGACAGCAAGAATCTTGCCAATCTTATTAACCTGCACCTAGAAGGCATATGATACACACATAGTAGGAGCTCAATATATATTTGTTAAATAAACAACAGTAGAAATCAAGATAGAAGTCCTTACATAAATTATTCACATTGGGAACTATCATTTAAACAGAAGTGAATTTGCTAAAAAAATCTCAATTTGCATTTTACCTAAAGCCTATCAATTTTGCTGGGATTGTCCCTATGAAATTCTGTTTATACTTCAGAATATATTGTCTTCATCCTACTTTCTGTGCATCAGCAACTATTCACTAAAATCCAAGTTTTGGGATTTGGGGATCTATTCTCCCTTAGACCTAACTCCCTCTGCTTAATTCTGAAATCCCAGAAGCTCACAGAAAAGTTTGGTCCAGCTACCCCACTCCTATTGCCAGAATAAAGTAATAAAGAGTAGTCTAGGCCAGTGCCTCCCAAACTTTAATGTGCATATAATTCACCTTTTGGGATATTCTGCAATTGTAATGATCTCCCAGATGAGTCTAATAACCGCCCAGAGGCTATACTGATCCACTGGTCATACTCTGAGCAAAAAAGAACTAGACAATGAGGACATTAAATGGTAGTTTGTCATTAAACACTTTGGTTATCATATACCAAACCAAATACAGCACAATTACTCTGCCTTTGTGTTCTGTGTCTTAAATAGCATTATTATTCTTCCCTTGTTGCAGGATTTCAAAGATCTGCTGAAGTTTGTAAAAGTATGCCAATCTTAGGGCTAACTTTTTTTTTTTTCCAAAAAGAACACACTGATCATTGGAAAAGTTGTTGTTGTTAGGTGCCATTGGAGAAATAAAGAGTTTACATTATAGGCAACATTCATTTTCACTTTCTGTAGAATATGTTACACTTCTATCTCCATCACATTTGAGAGACTCTGCTCCAGAGAGCACAGAAAGAGGAATTAAGAGAAGAACAGAAGTGTGGGTATCTGAAATCTCTGTCCTGGATAAACTAATTACTTATTAAACAGTAAAATACAGTTTGCACAGAGAACATTTCATAGAGTTAGTTCACATCACTCAGAATGACACTTTTCCAATAAGGCTGAGACCTCAAATGGAAGAACAGACCTCAGATGTTCAGTGTGTAGGTACAATGTCTGTTCCCCAGCCCAGCCACTACTTGGCAGCCTCACCTCTAGGGGCAGGTAGGTATGCTTTTGTTCCTGGCCAACTTGCAGGCAAGGCAGGTGGGGATACTTGAGCTGAAGGTTGTATTTCTGCTTGAAATACTGCGCCACTGTGCACTCCACAGTCTGTCCACTCTCCAGCTGCAAGGGAAACCTGTTTGGGGGAAGGGAAGGAGGTATCACACCCACAGCCAAGGGAAGCCCCAGACTTTGTCTCTACCCAGTCTCTTCTCTGAGCTCTGCCACTCATGGAAAGCAGGCAATATAGAGCTCCCAGGGAGAAGCCAAAGATACGAGAGGCAAGTGCCACAAAGGTCAGGACCATGTCTAACTCATCTGTATTTCTAGGGTTCAGTATAAATCCTGACACAGAGTAGGTACTCATAGTGCAGAATGATAGCCTGAGGTCAAGAAGAGGAATGGAATTCGTGAAAGCTTCCCAAAGGTCAAGCCCAGGGACCCAGATTTCTTTTTCAGGGAAAAGAATAAACTGAGAGAAATTCTAACATTTACAGAAGCAGAACAGGAATAAAAGTAACCTGCCTGTTCTATGTAAAGGTCAAAGAAGGAAAGGTGGAAGACCAAGAAGGTAAAAATGGTAAAGAGTAACAATGGAGTTGGGAAGGTTGGGAGACAGATGTCAAATTACCATAGCTTACCTTTAAAGACAAGACCAGTCCAAGGCTCACTCAGGGGCCAATAAAGTAGGGTTCAAGGAAGCAGGGAGTGTTTAAAATCTCAGCCCTGCTCTATAAACAGGTTATGGCTTAGCAACCCTGGCAACTTACGTCTGATGGCTAGCAGGGCGGCGGGTAACATTGCACACACGGTATTTCCTCTTCATCTGTCCACAGTGGGTCACTTCCACCTTCAGGCCTGGAATACACACATTTTGTGTCAGAGTTGGAATAATGTGCCCACACTTGGCCTTCCCCCTGGACATATCCCAAGGAGATTTCCTCTTAGTGCTAAAGAGAAAACGGTGCTATTTCCCTGTCTGATCCTCACCCTTTATCTCCTTGGTGAAACGAACACGCTGCGAGTCGGTGAGAGGCTTGGGCTGCTCATCTATGTTCCTGATGTCCAACACCTCACACATGAACTCAATCACCGGCTGTGCTTTGTAGAAGGCAGTGGCTGAGACTGTAGGGACAGGACAGGAATCACACAGCTCAGGTTCTGTCTTCTAGGATAAATGAAGGCACTGCTCTTTACACCCTCTTCCTTACAGGGCAGTAGAATAGGGAAGGCCCCAGGGAGATAGGGATTAGACTAGGAATGTGGTTGCAGAACTGGGAGGGACAGGCTGGAGGGACTGGACTAGGGGTGCCCCTGGTTCCACAGCTCTCCCTACTCACCATCAATGTTGAGCATCATCTTCCACATGGCAGGGCGCACAGACTGGTGAAAGCCGAACCAGACCTCGCGCCCACCCCCCAGCGGGTGGTAGTAGCCCTCAGGCGGTGAGAAGAAGGAGCGGCCCACAGGGGTGTACCTGGCAGGGACAGACAGAGAACTGGTCCCTCGGGCACAGGCCCCCACCCTGTGAGGCATCCTGGGCACAGAGGAGCCCTGGCCTGGAAGGCAGGACACCAGAGCTTTAATTTCAGCTCTGATCTTTTAGTGGTTGTGTGACCTTGTACAAGTCTCTACCCTTTATCTGCCCTGTAGCGACAGATGGGTTAAGGCTCAAAGAGATCTGAAAGGGGCAGGGCCAGGGTTTTAAGCCATCTAAAGGTATATGCACAGTTGGCTTGGCACATGGTAAGAATTAAAACACTCTGTTTTTCAAAGACACACAGTGAGACCTGACTATGTACTCATATTCATGACTCGCCTCCTCCCATAGCAATTCTGCCACCATTTGTAACCTAGATACTAACTACAAGCAGTACCTCATGGATGCCAGGTGCCTCATGGCTACATCCAGGGCTTGCACAGACTCCAGAGGAACAGGGATCTGACCGCTGACCAGGGCCTCATGCAGCATGCGCCAGCTCACAATGGCTAGCCACTTGATGGAGACCTTAAAGATTCGATCCTTCCCTTCCCCAGGGATTGTCACCTCAAAGTCCACCTTCAGGGAGGTGAGAAAAAACAGTGAAAAACTGCCATTTCTTTCAGACAATCTAACGTGCCCTGACCTACCCAAATGCCCCATCCTATGGATTTGTCAAGAATCTGCTCCTTGAACTGACAAGAGTCATAATGAGGACTCCAGAGTACATCCTGCCCCTTAGCTTCCAGACACCATCACAAAGTGCTCTTGAAAGGAGTCCCTATCATCAGTCTCCCGTGACTCACTGCTTCTTGTCCCTTTCAATCACACCCAGCAGAGAGTTTAATCTCAATCAGCTTGGAAGGGAGCTAGGCACACAGGAGGATAAATAAATAAACGTACTTACCCCACCCCACCCCTGGTCCCTGAAAAACCACACACACACTTTCTCTGTACCAACAATGGACTACCACAATCCAAAAAGGTTTACATGAACTGTGTTCCACCCCAGGTCCCTGACACAGGCCTAGCATGATTCCAGTCTTACCCGTTCATTGCCAATGGGCAGTGCTGTGACGGTGTAAATGTTCTTCTTTCCATCATACACAGGCTTGCGATCACCAAAGATCTGAGGCTTGAAATGCTGGACCATGTATTCCACCACTTCCCTGTGGGGGAGAGGAATGGCCTGTAGAAGCTGAGAGACTACCACTTCAAGCTTTTGGAAGTAGTTTTAAGTCTAGGCAATGTCCCATCTACTACTTTAACTCCATTAACAGCTACGGTAATTGCATCTATGCTAAGGAAGTGCTTCTCAAACTTCAACATTCATGTGAATCACCAGGAGATCTAATTAAAATCAGATTCTGATTCAGTATATCATGAAGGAAGCCTGACATTCTGCATTTCTGACAGGCTCCCAGGTGATGCTGGGTTCTCAGGTGACCCAGACTCTAAAGGAATTAAGAGTAGATGTGAATGCCTTCTAACCAGAGGAGGCTGAGGGGGCAAAGGGCTTAACCCCAGGCAGTGTTCAGTATCAGGAAAATAATCCAATCGTCAAGCAGATAAGCAAAATTAGATGGGGGAAAGATCTAACCTAGAAAAGAAATAAACAAGAAGAACCTAATCTCTTCCATCTCTCTGAAGGCCTTAGTCCTTGGTGATGGTTGTGAGTCATTGCGTCAGTTCTGAGGCTGTTAATCTTCATAAGAGCAGAAAGCCTCATCTTTCTCCCATGAAGCAACTGGTAGATTTGAACTGCTGATCTTGCAATTAGCACCCAGCTTGTAATCCATAACACTACTAGAAGACCTGGTGTGGCGCTGTGGGATTAGCACTGGACTGCAAAGTCAATTTGAATCGCAAGGCCAGCAGTTCAAGCTCACCAGCAGCTCCTTGGAAACCCTACATAGGGCTTTACGGGTCAGAACCCAACTCCATGGCACCTAACAACAACAACCGGACTCCTTAGTCCTTATTACTGCTTTCCCTCTCTATTAACATCTCTATGACTTCATTCCTGTCCTCTTCAGCTGGACCTTAAAATGTCCATCTACCCTTCAAAATCCAGCCCATCCAACCGATCTGATTTCTCTACTTTGTAAACTAAAGCTCTTGAACACTACTGGATAAAAACACTCAAAATACAGACTGGAAACAACTGACAGCACACAATTTCAAACCCAATTAATCTTCAGTAATATCTAGCAGTCTTTTTCATGTCCTTCTCTTCAGAGCCCATTCCTACTTCCCATCAGAAAGTAACTCTAATATCTCTGAAGAGAGTAGAAAGAAAGGCCACTCTCAACTTTCCAGACATATACACACACACTCATCTTTTTCTTCTTCTTTCCTATCATCATTGAAGTATCCTTTCCTTATATAATTTTTAAAGATAAGAAAGTAAGTTCAATTTTATGCATTAGAAATAGAGTTTAAAATTAGACAAAGATATAAATTTCTATCATATATGAAAAAATTTGACATACTGGATTAGTACAGGAATGGTGAACAAAACCTCTGATACCTTGGCTGATGATATTAAAAAAAGCATTATCTCAAATTTTTAAAAAATATATTGCACCAGCAATTTCACTATACACTCATGTATATATATATGATACATAAAAATGTATCTATATATAATAACATTTAACAGTTTCAATTTGTAGCAAATTTACATGAAACCTAAATGTGGCTCAATAGATTTATTTAAAAAGTTATAACGCATCTAATTCGGTAGAATTCCAAAGAAGCTATGCAAAAGATTAAGGCAAATCTGTATGTATTGATAAATATTATTCTCTAAAACATCTTTTTTTTTCCAGTGGAAAAAAGCAAGCTGCAAAACAAGGTGTATAGGATCCCACATTTTACAGGTTTTAAAAAGTAATTGATGTGATGTTGTAGGATCAGCACTGGACTTCAAATCACAGATCGGCAGCTCAAGCCCACCAAGCTGCTCCTTGGAAACTGAATACAGGGCTGCTATGAGTTGGAACCAACTTGAAGGCACTTAACAGCAACACATATACATATATCCTAACCTAGGTATAGAGAAATCTCAGGAAACATACTCAAGATTATTAACAATGAATAATAAATTAACAACGAAGAGGTACTGAGGGACAGGAAAGCAAGGTAGTAAGGAGAAAGTTTTCATTTTGCAAATATTTAATGTTCTTTTTTTTTAACATTGTACATATATAGTTTTCAAGTAACAAAATAATTCTAAAAAGAAATATTGCTTTTTGTGTCTAGGACTAATCCCAACAACTTTGTGTCCTGTAATGTCCTTGTCAGCAAAAATACTTTATTTTCATTCTTCCTCTCTCTATTCTATACCTTTAACCTCTCCTTTGCTCTTTCTTCTCAATTTATAAACATGCCCTTGTTTCACTTCCAAAATGTCTTCATTAATTTCAACAAATGTTCAAATTTTCAAGACACCCCTACAAGTCTTCTCTAACCAACATATTTCCTCTCTTCCCACTTCACTTCACTACCAAACTTCGGGGAAAAAAAACTATCAGTAGCTCTTACTATTCCTACCACCTTACTTTCCACTTATTTAACACATTGTAGTCAGATTATGGAGTTCTGATGTGGCACGCTGTAGGATAAGCACTAGTAAGAATCAGTTTGAACCACAATGTTGGCAGTTCAAACTCATCAGATGCTCCTTGTAAAACCAATACGGGGTCACTATGAGTCAGAACCAACTTGATGGCACTGAACAACTATAACCCTAATGAAATTGGTCTCACAGGAGCCACTTATTGGTCATGGTTATGTGCCGTGGAATCTGTTCCGACTCATATCGACCCTGTACAGGGTTTCCGAGGCTGTAAATCTTTACGGGAGCAGAAAGCCTCATCTTTCTACTGCGGAACAGCTGGTAGTTTCGAACTGCTGACCTTACGGTTTGCGGCCCGATTCGTAACCACTACACTATCAGAGCGCCTTAGTGATCTCCTAATAGCCAAGTCCAATAATGTTTTTTCAGTATTTCCTTACTTTACTTTTCTGGCATCTGAAAAGACAACCCGTTTCCTCCTGAAAAGCTTTCTTAGGACTTGGTATTATCTCCCTCTTGGTTTTCTCTTTTACCTCTCCCACTCCTATTTCAAGATTCTTTCACTCAGGAAAGAAAAAATTCCTAGGTTTGGGTGCTTAGATGTGGATCACTTACCGGTTGACTCTGCGGGGACACTTATCAGGCTTGATGTCCACTTCGTAGTGGTAGACGTCGATCTTAGGGATATCCACCTCAAAGTAATTGGCCAGGAGCTTGATTGGTTTCCCCACAGTGCCAATGCCAGGACGGCGAGGTGCCTGGAACACCTGCTGCAGGGGGGGCAGGTAGGCGCCCGCAGCTATAAGACAAAGAGCCTGGTGAGGTCAGAGTCTGGCAGCCTTCTCCTAACCATGCTGATCAGAGAAGGCAGCAGCTTCCTAGAACAGGAACAGGAGAGCATAAGGGAAGCCTCTTTCCTGTCTAACCAGCTGAAGGCTTCCACTGGTTCAGACACCTCAAGTTCATTCTTCCTCTTTTTTAAAAATAACTTGTCAGGAAAATTATACCTGTTGTCTATCTTAAATTCATCAAGTTAGGTAAAGAGGCTAAATCTGGTTCCCAGTAAATAAAACCTTTATCTTCTTTCTACGTGATTAAGGTTCTTGCCTCTACCAGGTATCTAGCAGAAGACCAAAAATGCCCTATGCTCTCTGCCATCCAGATTTTCTTCTCACTGATCACCATCCTGGATGCAAAATGGCATCAACTTTTAATGCACCTTTACAATGGAGGCAGGAGGAAGAGCCAAAGGAAGCCAGGTTAGAGTGGGGGTGGTGTGGCATTTGAGACAGGATTAAGGCAACTAAGAGGCTAGGATGGGAGAGAGACAAAAGGAAAAAGTTAGAAAGGAGGCTGAAGTAGGGAGCTAGAGGAAAGGGCAAAACTAGGGGGAACCACAATAATCAAAAAAAAAAAAACTTGAATTGGGAGCCAGGGGAAGGAGAACAAGGGGTTAAGGCACGGTTAGAGTTGGGAATTGGGGCAGAAAGCAAGGCTACCTTGGAGGATACTAATGAAGAAAAAGCCTTACAGGGCGGGCCACTATGACTCAGAATCCATGACAATGGGTTTGGGAAGGAAAGGCAGAAAGTAGAATATTGGATAAGGAGACACTGGATCTGGGAAGGAGAATACAAAAATTTTATATTCCCTTCAGCTTATATTCAGCTGCTCCCTTCACTTCCCACAGCTCCTTCCACCCATAGGGCCCAGACAGTAGCGGAAAGGGATCAATTTCAAGACAGAGGGGGCCCTTGGGAAGGGGCTAGGGCGGGGCCAGCTCCTACTCCTTTCTTGTCACCATCTGGTTGCTAAGCCCAGTCTTATTTTTCTAGCTTGAGGGGAAAGGGAAAAAGGCAGAACATTGCTTAAGAGTAGTCTTTGTCCTCAACTACCATTGTCCGGGACAGTAGAGGACCGGGCCAGGTGGGTGGGGAGAAGGATAAACCATCTTAAGAGTTTCTCTTCACCAGTCAGCCAGGCTGGGGGATGGGACAGATCCACAACTGGGGGGTCAGGAGGAGGTCAGAGCCATTTAGGGGAGGGGCACACTTCTCAGGGCTAAACTGCTCAAGGCTCCCAACCAACCACCTGTCAAGCCAGGCCCCACTCTGAAGACACAGAAATAGAGGCTGAGGGGCGGGAACAAGCAAGGCCTTCGGAACTCAGCTGTATGAGGAAGTAAAAGCCTAACTACTAGTATCTGGCCATCTACCCCAGAAAGAGCTGGACAGAAACTGAACACAAATCCACAGTCAGACAGACACAGACACACATGCCCATCACACATATCCAAATACATACACACACAGACCTAAAGAGCTTACACTGACTTAGACTGCAAGTTCTTCAAAAGCAGGGACTTAGGAGTCCTGGTGTGGCACTATGCGTTAATGCACTAGACTACAAAGTCGGTGTGAACCATGAGGTTGGAGGTTCAAGCTCACCAGCTACTCCTCGAAAACCCAATACAGGGTTGCTATGGGTCAGAATCGACTCCACTGCACTTAACAATCTGTTTTACCTTCTTCTGAATACATGTTTGGGCTTTGGGAAAAAGGTATCACCTAGAGCTGGGGGGATGGGTGGAAATGATGGGGCATGAAACAGATACTTTAACCACAAAGTCTTCTCTTCCATCCATATTAGAACGACACCAGAGTTCGTTAGAACATGCTCTTCTCCAAGAATGCTTTAGGAAAACAGGAGAATCCCTAACAACCCCTCCTCCATCTCCAAACTTGGGAAAGAAGGGAGAGGTGGCAATCTCTCCAATCCCATCCCCCAGCAAGCCTTACAACTGTACAGTGCTGCTCCTCCCCCCACTAACCCCCCCACCCCCAGCTTTTAGTCTGAGAAAAGGAGACACTTCCCTTCAGACCCAGACAGGGACAGACGGCCACTTTGTGATGCAGATGAGGGCCCCAGCTAGAAGACAAAGCTTGGGCCTTGGGGAAAAGGGGCGGGGCCCTTCCCTGCAGACAGGAGTAAGAAGGAGGGGCCCTGAAAAGGACACTCCCCCTCCCCCATTCCCAACTGGCCAAGAGAAGGAAGGTAGTAATAGAGTTGAAAGCCCTAGCTCAGGGATTCCTTCCCAGCAGTTCAGAGGCCCACATACCTCCCAAGGAGCCAGACTGCCTATTTAAAAATCACAAACTCAGAGCTGGGTTGGTTAGCAGATAAGCAAAAACTAACAGGTCAATCTCTCCAAAAAGAATTTGTCCACACATGAGAATACACAGATGATGAAATATTCACACATGTGCTTTAACCCACACATAAGTGCTTTAATCACACATGAACATGATTCAATTCAATTAACAAACATGTACCATGTCAGGGTCTATGCTAGTCACTTGCTGGTTTCAAGATGTATCAGATACTGCCTCTGCCCTCAGGAGTATTCAATCAAGTACATTTGCTTGGAACATATCTGGGCACAGTTGGCACGCCTAGGCATAAACCCAGTGAAGCCAGCAACAACACTTTAGTTTGTGTGTGCCCTTGGACCATTTCAAGGCATTACCCTAACTTCCAAGAAAATAGTCTGAGCCTGGGAAGAAGGCAGTTATGGGGTTCTTCCAGCTAATTTCAACTGCATCCTTTAATGCAGCAAAGCCTGCCCCACTAGGCTCTTCATAAGGTTACAGCCAACTCCAAACACCAAGCTTTGTTCCCTCCCTAGAGCCTTTCTTACAACAAGCAAAAAGGGTAACTTCTTCATCACTTCAGAGCCTACTAGGAAATCATCAAGATAAAAATTATCAGCAGTCTGGTGCTGGTACTGGTGAAAGCTCTCAAAAATCCTCCTGGACCTCGGTGGCACACACCCTCTAGCTTACAGGTTGTTGCTAACAGGATCCAGCCTAGAAAACCAAGAGAGCTCCTGAGATTGGGAGAGGTATAAGGGAGAGCAGAAGTAGTGACCACTGACACTGGTTGTTTTCTGCACTCTACTCCCATGTGAGGTTAGCCCAGGACAGGGCACTGTATCCTGTATTGTTCTGCTGTGCATAGGGTCGCTAGGAGTCAGTACCAACTCGCTGGCACCTAACATAACAACTCCCGTACCCAGGAGTCCTGGTGTGGTGCTGCAGAATAATGCACTGGACCACAAGGTTGGTTTAAACCACAAGATCAGCGGTTCAAACTCACCAGCCACTCCCCAGAAGTCCTATACAGGGTTGCTATGACAGGCTTAACAACAACAACTCTCATACCTTAGTGTCACCAGACTTTCCCTAAGGTTGTTTTTGTTTAGGGGAAAGTAGTCATTAAGAACTTTTTGAGTGAATGGATGATTTGAGTGAGCTTGTAGGTGTTATTTCCTTGAAGGGGGAATGTTTGATCTAAAAGACAAAGATCTTTCTACCACAAAAGTAAATCTTCTTCCTATCCCCAGACCAAATGGAAAGAGGTGATGAGAGGGGACCTAAAGGATTCCAGGGCCCAGATTGTTACTCCTCCCATCACAGGGTAAGGGACCTAGGGCAAAAGAGGCCCAGTTCCCTCTAGGTCATACTGGTGAGTCTAGTCTTCTTGGGGAACCCTTCCTCCATTTCTCCTGTTTTTCTTTTCTCCTGCTTGTGTGTGAAAAAGACATTAGCCTACATCTGAGGCTCAGAACACAAGAGTCCTGGTGGTGGTGGTGATGTGCTGTGGACTGAGTTCTGACTCATAGCGACCCTGTACAGGCAGTACAGGTTTCCAAGGCAGTAAATCTTTATAGGAGCAGAAAGCCTCATCTTTCTCTCACAGAACAGCTGGTAGTTTCAAACTGCTGACTGTGAGATTAGCAGCCCAATTTGTAACAACTATGCTACCAGAGCTCCTCAGAACACAAGAATGGTGGCTAAAATCTCCCACCCTGGTCTACTACCCATTAGCTAGCAAGGCAACCTAGAGTCTAATGACTCTGGGATACAGGAGAGATTAGGCTGTCACTGCAAGAGGCATTTGAAAGGATTGTTGTTGTCAAATTAGTTCTGACTCAAAGTGACCCTTGAGAATAATGCACTAAATCTCAAGGTCGGTTTGACCAGCAAGGTCGGTGGTTCAAACTCACCAGCTACTCCTCAGAAACCCTAAACAGGGTCATTATCAAAGACTCAAGGGCACTTCACAACAGTTCAGTGCTTATCTTACAGCCACACCAGAATTCCATTGTTGTCACTGTTGTTAAGTGCCAGTCTCATCCATCTGATAAAGCATTTCTTAGCCTCTGGGAATGAACAAGTGAGTGAGAAAGGAACAGGAATGAGAGTGACTAGAAGTATGTTGTTGTTAACTGTAGTCAAGTAGGTTTCAACTCATAATGACCCTGTATAAGGTTTTCAAGAAGCAGATGGTGTGCATGAACCACCAACCTTGCAATTCAACTGACTTTGCTTTCCAGCGCATTAACCAGCAGTACCCAGAAATTTGCTAAAAAGGCAGACAACTGCTTCCAGGTGGCCTTGGTCCCTTAGTAACACCTTTCTTTTCTAAGGCCTATTTTCAAGGGTGGACCACCCCTACCCCAAGACATTGCTTCTGGCCCAGTTTTCCCTTTTCTAATGGCAGAGGAGGAGTCCTGGTGTGGCACTGAAGGTTAATGCACCAGACTGCAAAGCTGTTTGAATTGCAACGTTGGTGGTTCAAGCTCACCAGCTCCTCCTAGGAAACCCTATATAGGATTGCTTTGGGTCGAAATCGACTCAACAGCATTTAACGACAGGCACATTGGCAGGTTCCCTTGAACATTTTTAGCAAACTGTGACTGAAGAGATTTCAGAGCCAACTGTTTTAAGATAGGGGGAAAGACCACTTACATTGGCCCCAGCAAGGATAAAGTTAAAGAATGCATCCCATCAGCTGGCTCCTTCTTCCTAGCCAAACCAGGACCAGGAAAGTGGGAGACGGATCTTGGACAGCCACACCCCCATTACATCGAGCAGTCCTTTCCAGCGGCTACCTCCGCGCATGCTCCAGCGCCTCCACTTTGGCTCCCCAGACTCACTTGGTGGAATCCCGGGGCTGAGTCCCCACCCAACGCCCCCTGACCCTCGCCCCCGCATCAGGCCAGGCTAGGGCGGAGCTCTCGGCGAAGCTCTGGTGCCTTGCCCCTGAAACACTGTTAGAGATTGAAATATGTCCCCCAAACTAGGTTGTGTAAATCCTAACCTCTTGGCCTCCGGTTATAATCCCATTTGGGAATGGGCTGTCTTTGTTATGCGAATGAGACAGGATTAGTGTAGGGTGTGTCTTGAGTCAATCTCTTTTGAGATAGAAGATGAAGCAGAGTTGGGGGAAGAGACATGCCAAGCCACAATAAAATCGCTCTGGAGCAGACGCTCCTCTCAAGACAAGGATCTTCCTCCACAGCCGACAGAGAGAGAAAGCCTTCCCCTAGAGTCAGCACCCTGAATTTGTGCCTCGAAAACTGTGTGAAAACAAATTTGTTTGTTAAAGCCATCCACTTGTGGTATTTCTGTTACAGCAGCAGTAGATAACTAAGACAGACACTAACCCAGTCCAGCCAGACTGAGCCCCCGCCTCCGACATGCGGCAGCTCCAGGGCCATCTGTGTCGCCCCCCTCCTCTCTGGGACACCTGGAGCCCGCCCCCTGCCACCTGCCGGGCCTCTCTCTAGGCCTCCTCAGACCTACTGGAGTCCTTGAGTGCGATCAGGCCCTTCTCCAAGATTACTTCTCACTCCCAGGACTGCAAACAGCCTCCTTTTACAAACGACCCTCATCTTATAGCTCCCTTCACAAGGGTTTCTCTCCCGGAACTGCACACAGTCCCCTTCAAACTGCCCCCCCACCCCAAATCCCATGAGAGCCCCTCTTTGCTCACTCAGGAGCCCTTTCCTCACTCGGAAACCCCGTTCCGCACGCGGGAGCTCGCTGGTCCTTGGAGCACACACAGCAACCCCCTCCTGGGGGCCCTTACCTGCTCCCGAGGGTCCCGCTTCCATCCCATATACCCGTGCGGAGGTCAGGCGGCCTGGAGACTTTGGAGTCCAGCGCGAGGGATCTAGGTACCCTGCACTCTCGCTGCTCGGACTCCCGGGCCGGGCTCGGCTTCTCCCCGAAGCCCGGCCGCTCGCGCCGCCACCCCCGCAGCCTCCGTTGCCGCCGCCGCCGCGGAGGCTGCAGCAGCTCCCCCTTCGAGCACCCAGCCAGTTGATAGTGCGCAGGCGCGGCCGCCAGGCCCAGGGGGCGGACGGGAACGAGTCAAGCGGGGCGCTCCGACGGCAACAAAGGCCAACGGAGAGGGGCGGGGGCACCGGGGACCCGAGGCAGCGGCCCCTGGCGGTCAATAGTTGTCGTGCAGCCCAGCGGGAGGGCTCCGGTAGAGGCGCCACGAAATCCTGAAACCGTGCAGCGGTGTTAATGAGGCTGGAAGGCCCACCCCCATAGCAGCCTCCGGCCCTGTACCTATACCCCAAACACTCCCCTCAAAACTTATACACAGGCCCGCTTCACACAGGACCACACACACCTTACAGGGACCCCACTTCATACATAGGTCCCCTTTACATACTCAAGCATCCCATCATCCAAGAGCCCTGCCTCCCACCTCTCCTCCCAATCATCCTCATCCTTCAAGCCTAATCTGCAAAGAGACTACCTCCGCGAAATCTTTCTCTATCCCAAATCTTAGAATTTACTGACACCATCCTCTCTTCCAGTCCTTGTTTCTGAGACCAGAGATGTGAAACAGACCTTGTCTGCCCTGAAAGATGTCACAGTCTCAACATAAGTGCAACTACAGTATGCAGTCCTTGGGAAGAACCTGCCTCCACTTTTTCATCTAAAGCTCACACCTGAACTCTTGTCAATATTCTTTCACCCTTATCACCTCATTCAAATGATTTTTGTGCCAAAATCCAATGGATAAATTTCATTGCTGATTTCTCTGCAGCAGCTGACATACTTGTGCCTCTTCTAGTTGATTTGTGTATTTTCTGAGGTCTCCATTTGCCTAATTCTTTTGCAGTCTCCTTTGAGGAATCCCTCGTGGTTTTGCTCTATTAAATAATAGTATTCTCCCTGGCTCCAAATCCAACTCTCTTCTCATTCCACTTTCCACTTTGTTTTCTAATGTTTCATCCACTATCCTTCCAATTTTTTTATCTCTAGTCAGTTCTCTGTATCGAAGAGTTTGCTGGACAGCTCCACCTGAACAGCCTACCAGCACATCAAATTTAAGAAATCCAAAAACCAAACATTCTTGCTTTTTTTTTTTTGCTTTATTGTGATATATACATACATGTACATAAACATATTACAAAACATATTACAAAATGAACTCTCTATCTTTCCCCATAAACTTGCTTATCCTGTGCTTCTTGTCTCAGAGAATGGTACTTTCACAGAATTGACAGCTCCTCCTCTCTTTCCCAGGACTTCAAAGTTTGTTTCAACCACAAAGTTAGCAATTCAAGCTCACCAGCTACTACTTGGAAACCCTATACAGGGTCGCTAAGAGTCAGAACTGACTTGACAGCACTTAACAACTGTATACTATAAGAAACCCTGGTAGCATGGTGCATCATGAGCTGGGCTGCTAACCAGAAGGTTAACAGTTTGCATCTACCAGTTGCTTCATGGGAAAAAGATAAGGCTTTACGCATCTGTAAATAACTGTTGTTGTTGTAGTGAAGTGCCATTGAGTCAGTTCTGAACCATAGCAACCCTGTATAGGGTTTCTGAGGAGCAGCTGGTGAGCTTGAACCACCGACCTTGCAGTTCAAATGGCTTTGCAGTCTGGCGCATTAACCCACAGCACCACACAGCCTCGGAAGCCCTATACAGGAGAGTCCAACTTGATGGCACATAAGCACCACCACCACCACCAATATTTACTATCCACCACTCGTCTGTCAAGAGCTCTGATAGCATAGTGGTTATGAATCAGGCTGCTAATCTGAAGGTCGGCAGTTCGAAACTACCAGTGGTTCCGCGGGACAAAGATGAGGCTTTCTGCTCCCATAAAGATTTACAGCCTCGGAAACCCTGTGCAGGGTGTCGCAACCGACTTCATGGTACTTAACAACAACAAAAAAACACTCGTCTGTCAGGTTGTCATACTGTGTGTGGTAGCTTGCAGGTTGCTATGATGCTGGGAGCTACGCCATAGTGGTCAGTATTCAGCGGAGCTTCCAAACTATGAAAGAATAGGAAGGAGACACAGACTATTTCTGAATGTTTAGCCACTGAAAACCTTATGAATTGCAGTGGAACACTGTCAGACATAATACCAGAAGGTGAAAACACGATGACTAGCACCAGAATATTGTCAGACATAATGCTAGAAGATGAGCCCCTCAGGTTGGAAGGCACTCAAAATACAACTAGGGAAGAGCTGCCTCCTCTAAGTAGAGTTCACCATGATGATTCGAATGGAGTAAAGCTTTAAGAACCTTCATTTACTGATGGGCTTAACTCAAAATGAAGAGAAATAGCTGTAAACATCCATTAATAATCAGAACATAGAATATATAAAGTATGAATTTAGAAAAAGTGGAAGTTCTCAAAAATGAAATGAAATACATCAATACTGGTATCTGAGGCATTAGTGAGCTGAAATTAGCTAGTATTCGCCATTTTAAATCATGGTTTACTATGCCAGAAACAGCAAATTAAAGGATAGTGTCACATTCATTGTCAAAAAAGCATTTGAAGATCTTGAAGTACAATACTGTCTGTGATATAATATCCCATCCACACACCTACAATGAAGAGCAGTTAATATAACCATTATTCAAATTTATGCTCCAACCACTAAAGCCAGTGATTACAAACTGGAAGAATTCTACCAGAATCTTCAGTCTGAAACTGACCAAACATGCAATCAAGATGTATTCATGGCTCTCTGCTTCTCCCCGTTCGATATGCAGCCGCAGCTTCTCTTGCAGTACCAGCCGCATCCCTGAGACAAGATGGTGAAGGTCGGAGTCAACGGATTTGGCCGTATTGGGCGCCTGGTCACCAGGGCTGCTGTTAACTCTGGCAAAGTAGAGGTTGCTGCCATCAATGACCCCTTCATTGACCTCAACTACATGGTATATATGTTCCCGTATGATTCCACCCATGGCAAGTTCAATGGCACTGTCAAGGCTGAGAACGAGAAATTTATCATCAATAGGAAGCCCATCTCTATCTTCCAGGAGCCAGATCCCACAACATCAAGTGGGATGATGCTGGTGCTGAATATGTTGTAGAGTCCACCGCTGTCTTCACAACCATGGAGAAGGCTGGAGCTCACTTGAGGGGTGGTGCCAAAAGGGTAATCATCTTTGCCCCTTCTGCTGATGCCGCCGTGTTTGTGATGGGCGTGAACCATGAGAAGTATGACAACTCCCTCAAGATTGTCAGCAATGCCTCCTGCACCACCAACTGTTTGGCCCCCCTGGCCAAGGTCATCCATGACAATTTTGGCATCATGGAGGGACTCATGACCACAGTCCATGCCATCACTGCCACCCAGAAGACTGTGGATGGCCCCTTTGGGAAACTGTGGCGTGGTGGCTGTGGGGCTGCCTAGAACATCATCCCTGCATCTACTGGTGCTGCCAAGGCTGTGGGCAAGGTCATCCCTGAACTGAATGGGAAACTCACTGGCATGGCCTTCTGTGTCCTCACTCCTAACATGTCTGTTATGGACTTGACCTGCCGCCTGGAGAAAGCTGCCAAATATGATGACATCAAGAAGGTGGTGAGGCAGGCATCAGATAGACCCCTAAAAGGCATCCTGGGTTACACTGAAGACCAGGTCGTCTCCTGTGACTTTAACAGTGACACCCACTCTTCCACCTTTGATGCTGGGGCTGGCATTGCCCTCAACGACCACTTTGTCAAGCTTATTTCCTGGTATGACAATGAATTTGGCTATAGCAACAGGGTGGTGGATCTTATGGTCCACATGGCCTCCAGAGAATAAGAGCCCCCTGGACCACCAGCCCCAGCAACAGCACTAGAGAAGAGAGAGGCCCTCAGCTGCTGTGAGTCCTTATCCCAACTCTAATTCCCCTACACACTGAGAAACTCCCATTCTCAGTTTCCATCCAGACCCCCTGGAGAAGGGGAGGGGCTTTAGAGAGCCCAGTCTTGTCATGTACCATTAATAAAGTACACTATCTAGCCAAAAAAAAAAAAAAGATGTATTCATGATTACTGGTGACTGGAATGCAAAGGTTAGAAACAAAGAGAAAGGATCAGTAGTTATAAAATATGGCCTTAGTGGCAGAAATGATGCTGGAGATCACATTAGAATTTTGCAAACATCTTTTCTAAATAACGTAAGAGAGAATTATACACATGGGCCTTACCAGATGGAATACACAAGAATCAAACTGACTGCATCTGTTGATATGGTGGATAAGCTCAATATCATCAGCCAAAACAAGGCAAGGAGCCAACTATGGAACCGACCACCTATTTTTCATATGAACGTTCAGATGGAAGCTAAAGAAAATTAAAATAAGTCCATGAGAGCCAAAATAGGACCTTGAACATATCCCACCTAAATTTAAACACCGTCTCAAGAACAAATTTGATACATTAGATACTGACCAAATGACCAAAGACCAGAAGAGTTCTGGGATGATATCAAGAACATCATACAGGAAAAAGGCAAAAGATCATTAAAAAGATGAGAAAAAAAGAAAACGTCAAAAAGGATGTCAGAAGAGACTCTGAAACTTCCTCTCCAGAGTAGCAAATGGAAGAAATGAGGATTCGAAATTTCAAGCTGGATTCAGAAGAGAACACACAACTAGGAATAACACTGCTGACATCAGATGGATCTTGACTGAAAGCAGAAAATACCAGAAAGATGTTTAGTTGTACTTTATTGACTATGCAAAGACTTTTGACTGTGTGGATCATGACAATTTATGAACAACACTGAGAAGAATGGTTATTCCAGAACACTTAATTGTGTTCATGAGGAACCTATACATAGGCTAAGAGGCAGTCATTCAACCAGAACAAAGGGATATTAAACGGTTTAAAATCAGGAAATGTGTGTACCAGGATTGTATTCTTTCCTATAGTAATTTGATTTGAATGCTACACAAATAATCAGAGGAACTGGATTATATAAAGAAGAGCACATCAGGATTGAAGGAAGACTCATTAATAACCTGCAATATGCATATGATACAACCTTGTTTACTGG